CAAAGTAGGGAATTATTTCTGTCATGTATCATTACACTAAGTTTTGCAAACCCCCTTTAAACTTTTCATTCACTCCTCTCAACCCATAGTTATTACCTTCTATGACCCCTGAATAGGTCACTCCCATTTCAACCATAAGAAGCTTTGTGATCACCCTTCTCCACAGATCTTTGATTATTCAGATCTTTTAAGGTGTTTTCTCTTATTCAGGACTTGGAACTTCTTAAAAATACTTTTTCGAGCTAGCTTTCACTATCCTACTCTGCACTGATCTGCCTTATGTGTTTCAACTCTAATTGTCATTACCTGACATTGGTGTATGCATTTGTTTGATTGAATTCTTTTTAAATATTCCTTTCAGTGGAATATGAACTTGAGTATAAAGATCATCTTTTATTGTTCACTGCTGCATCACTAGCAAGCACCAGAGAACTTGCCACATAATAGACAATTTTGAAATATTTAGTAATTCAATATAATGAATTCTTTCCAAATCTGATTTCTCTATTTTTTGTTTCTTTATACAGTATAGTTAAAACAATATATGGTTATATTCATTTATCAACACCCTTAGACTGCCTAGTCACTTCAGTACAAAATAGATTTTTGGTTTTGTTTTTTCTGAAAAACAAAATACAGCTATTAACAAGTTGATGAAGGTTATGAGCTTATATAATTAAATTCTGTTGGGCCTTAAATCAGTATCTGAGGCCTTCTGTTTGAAAATTAAGTTCTATTCTTATAAAATCAAATTTAAATATGTTTAGAGATTTATTTTACTGTGTGTGTGTGTGTGTGTGTGTGTGTGTGTGTGTGTGCATATGTGCTGCTGGAAGCCTGCACTGCAGAGGGTGTTGGTTCCCCTGGAGCTGGAGTTACAGGCAGTTGTGAACTAACGGCTTGATGTGAGCACCAGGAACTGAACTTGGGTCTCCTGCAAGCATAGTTATCCTTTATAACCACTGAGCCATATCTTTATCCTCTTAATTTAGATTTTAACTTTTTTTTACCGTCTTTATGTGAGTATGGAAACCATCATATGAAGCTTCCTCAGTTTCTTGTTTCTTTCTTCTCAAAGCACTGACAGTATCTGAATCTCTTCCATTCTTTCCTTCTAAGCTATAACTTGAACCTGGGTAATTCCCATGTATGCCCATCCTTTTAGGAAGCCGACCTTCCATCTGCATTTTCTTTCCCTTCTCTAGGCTTAATTGATCCCTCTAAGTCAATCTACCTTCCTCTATCATTCTTTACCTCATTTTTTCACACAGAGTCTCTCACTGACCCTAGATAGTACCATTTCAATGAGAATGTCTGGTCAACAAGTCCCAGGGACTGTCGTGCTACCCCTCCCAGCACTAGGATTTCAGTCTTTTTTCTGTGAACTGTAATACCCAGTTTTCACATGAGTGTTAGTAGGGTTAACTCTGGGCTAACTGAACTATGACCCTATCCACAAATTGCCTTTTGTTATAATTGATCTAAGTTCTATCTCTGTTTTTTCTGAGGGCAGGGTCAATTCATTATATTATTTTGCATATACAAATGTATTATGTAAAATAACTATCACAAGCAACATAGTATATGTAGTTAAAATAAGATAGGCTGAATTAGAGCAATATGATTCATTTTATTATTTAAATAAATGTAGATGTATGTCCTAGTTAGTTCACAATTTCAGGTTACAGTCCAGCACTGGAGGACAGTAAAGGGACAAAATCTTGACATTGCCAGTCATATCACATTCACAGTCAAAAACAGAAGGAAATGAATGCTTGTTGTCCCAAGTGATTGTTTCAAAGACCTAGTTATAACCAGCTTATAAGATGACTAAATGAAATGACATGCAATGCTTTTAGCAAAGTCAGTGTAAAATTTTCTTCACTTTCTGTCTATTTTTATTTTGCTTTTTTCTTTGTCTGCCCATGGAAAAAAAACTACTAAGCAAGTTAATAAGCAGGCAAAAAAGTAAAGCAGTGTTTTATTTAATAGCAAAGGCATTTAGCAGCAGGACTCTATTCACACAATGACTTTGCTAATTATAAATGAGCCTCGTGTAGTATTTAAAGTATTTATAAGGTTCTTAGAAGGCTTTGAGTTCTGTACCCATTCTGCTGTTAACAATGTGACTACAATCCTCCAACAAAGAGGAAAAGTGTTTATTTACTTGCATGAACACCCCTTATCTTGCACACTCTTCCACCCATTTACAACACTCCCTGCCCCCAACTGAGAATGCTGATGTCAACATAGGCGGGCAGAGTGTGATATACAGGGCCTTTCAAGATATGCCTTTTTCCTTCTTATTAATTAATTTTACATCCCAACCACAGCTTCCCCTCCCTCCTCTCCTCCCAATCCCTCCCCCCAGCACACGCCTGCCCCCTCCTCACCCACCCCT